GGAATACTATTTCAAGAAGCTACTTTCATATACACTAACAACGAACATTTTCACACGTAAATCTGTTTTATACTAAGTTTTGTGAGACATTAAACTTCACGTACACACGAGTACACATTTCAAGTCCTGTATTAGATACCAGAATCCCTTGGAGGGGGAGCATGGTGTTTGTGTATAGATCTATACGGGCTTGACAACCCGCGCCTGACTGTTAGCTACAGTACACCATTTGGGTGACAAACGTCAGAACATTCCGCCTGAAGAATGTTGTGTATAGGCATTCCTTATCAATAGCATGGTTATAAAACTCACATAGAGTATTATAAACACATTGATTTACGGGGGTTTTCAGATATAATGGAGGTTTTATACATACATAAGTTCATTTATTTTATTCATGAAAAACCCAATTGTGATATAAGTTTGGAACTTCTAACCACTACTCATAGACGGAAAAACATCAACTTTTTAACATATATTGGTTTTGATTTAAGGCTACGTTTATACCAGTAGGAAATATGGGATTTTCTAGAGACTAACAAACAAAAACGAACCATTTCATTTTCATACAAATACTATCATTAAATGCTTATGAAACTCACCAGCTTAAATGTTGATCTACTCTTTCAAAACTACTTGTATGTCCCAGGGACTCAGTAATTACAGGTACTAAATAACTTTTAAAGAAGGAACGCTACGACATTAGTTTAAATTCATATTTTGGCATCATATTGTAATTGGTTTTGGACATGTACTCTTTTAAACAATGTAAACTTTCAATTATATATATGATGGTTGTATTGCTTTCTTTACTATGTATCCATTTGTTACGTTACCACATGAAGTCATCCGCCGCCGAATGTTTCCGCTGTTCCGGTTTGGGGGTGTGACACCTACCAGAGTACCTATAAAAGTCCTATATTATAACCAGAATCTCCAGTAAGAGAGTGTGATACTTGTATATAGATCTATACGAGACTGACAATCCCGCACCTAAGTTGTTAGCTACAGCTAGACCGACAGGTCTGGGGTGACATATGTAATAACATTTCGATGCATGAAGAACATCGCAACAGGCCAACTACGGTTTTAGCATGGTTGTAATAACTCACATTGGTTATTAACAATAAATTTGGTTTACGGGGCTAACATACATTCATATGGTTTTATATAAGAATAAAACTACATAATACTACTTCCGAGTACATCAATACTTATACATTTTTGGTCTTATGGTTTTTAAGACTACAACTCATTTTAAGAAAATATTGGATTTTCTAGAATCATTTAGCATCATATTAGCAATACATTTGATTTACGGGGCTAACATACATTCAAATAGTTTTATATAAAATAAAAACATTAACTACGAATATATATATATATATATATATATATATATATATATATATATATATATAGGTTTCAGGTGTTCTAAGTAAGTATTGTGTTATTGTATGCATAAATGTGAACCAATCAAAATTAAATCAAAATTTAAATAATTAAATAAATAAACAAGGGTATTTTAGTATTTTGATAAATGGCTTCCACAAATAGTCCCTATAATCATGCTAGCATTCACTTTTAACCTATATATATTTTTTTCTTATATACAGTCGTCATCAGTCAAACACCTTCTCTCACAATCTCCGTTCAACTCCGACTATATTACCATGGCTCCACCGTCGTCCCCCACCAGTCTCCATATAAAATATGTCGTATTTCCACCATCCGGCAAGCCTCCTAGTGCAACCACCACTTTGTTCCTCGTTTTAGTAGGTATTAATTCCCATATTCAAATCAGTAATTAAACTTGATCTTCCACCGATAAAAAATCATGTCATTTTCATCTCTTCAGTTAGGCTTACAGTTTTATTGTTAATTGGAGTATGAATCATCTAAATCGTGGTTTCCATCATGTGCAAGGTGGGAGAGGTATGGAAATCGAAGGTAACTTCATGAAGTTCACGGGGATTGGTGTGTATCTGGAGGATAAAGCTATTCTGTCACTCGCCGTTAAGTGGAAGGGAAAAACTACAGTTGAGTTGACAGATTCCATTGTGTTCTTCAGAGACATTATTACTGGTCAGCTTCAACTAATTTTGTGCTTATGACTCTGGTCAAGAACGAGCATCATCTGGTCAAAAACCAGTCAAGTATCATGGAAAACGACCTTTTAAAAGGGTATTCAGAATTCAGGTATTCTGAACACCTCAAATTTGATTCTAAATAACATTAATTGATCTTTAAAAGTAAACTTTTTTTTTTTCTTCTAGGAACCTGTTTTTGTTGCATTTTCTGCTCTGAATATAGCAATGAACTTTCATGGGTGGATTTCCTTCTTCATTCTTTTGCATTACAAGCTACCTATGAAACCAGATAAGAAGCCTTACTATGATTATGTTGGTCTTTGGTATTTATATGGGCTTCTAGCATTGAATTTGTGGTTTGGGAGTGTTGTTTTTCACAGCCGGTGAGTTTATCAAGGTCTATTTGGTATGATGGAGTCAAATCACAAAGGAATGGAATGAGTTAATGGGGAATGATATATTCCGTTCCTATTTGACAAACAAACAAGATTTTCATTCCATTCCTTCTTTGATTACTGCATATACCAAACACTACCTACATGATTGTTTTGTCCCAAATATATTTATTAAATAAACAAAGTTTTATAAATTTTGTTGCTATGTACAGAGAGATGTGGAATTGACAGAAAAGTTGGACTACTATTTTGCAATTGCATTGCTTGGATACTTGATGATTGTATCCATATTAAGAAAGTAGTCATCGAGAGTTGCAACCTTTATTTTTGTGCCCTTGACACTGTTGGTAGGTCTAAATACCTTTAAGCAAATTTTCTAGTTTTCTGATTTTCTTTGAAAAATATTAAAAAAATACTTGAGAAGATGTATCATTCTATCAATTAGGTAATAGATATTGAACCTTAAGATCAATTTGTTTTGAATTATGTGTTTGTCTTATTCATCTTTTTTTTAATAAAGAGAATACCAAATTACTAATTTTGATAATATTCGTTTATAGTATTCTATCAGAAAAGAATGTTTTTTTTATGATATTCATTAACATATTCTGTTAGAATGTCCAAATTAATATAATTATTGGTAAACGAATTCAAATTTTATCAGAATGAAATCACGAATTCCAATTATGTTGGAATGGAGTATGAATATTTTCTCACTAATTTATTCATTGGATTTGTTTCCACAGAAGCTGATGCTTGAAGAACAGACCAGAAAATTTGAATGACGCCTCTTAGTAACATTATTCTTTTAGCATGTGTTAGAGTCTTTGTTAGATTTTGATGTTTTTTTCCCGATTTGAAAGTTTTTAGTTTTATTATTTAACAATAAATGTAATTCTTAGCAATTGTTACATGTATTCTATTACAATTAATGTAATTTTTATTTGAATTCTTCAATTGCTGGTTCGAGAATTTATTATTCTACAATAAATTTTTAGAATCATAATCAAGAAATATGTTCAAGAATATTTTTATTATTTTATGGTTCTAGAATATTTTTATTTTTGAACATACTCAAACATATACTGTCGGAATGTCCGAATTAAAAACCTTATAATTTGTAAAATCGGATTTTGAAAATTAATATAATCTATGATCCCTTAAAATATGTAGATTTCCTTGATTAAATCTATATTAATTGATTAAAACACCCTTCTAATTAAATTTGATGGTATTTTTCAATTATATTTAATTCAATAATATGTATTAATCATTTTTTTTTAAATAAGGAAAATGATTGGCCCACATTTATGCATATAATAACACAATAATTACTTTGAATATAATAACCTAAGCCTATGTATGTATGTGTGTGTGTGTGTGTATATATATATATATATATATATATATATATATATATCACTAATAACCATGAGCTTGGTTGCTTTTAAAGCTATTTTTAAGTAAGAAATTACTTATGTAACATAATGGTTTGGTTTTCAAGGATATTTAAAGGTTCACTACAAACACGGTTTTTAAAAGTATGGGTTACTTATACAAAAGATACATTTTGGATTTCAAGGATTTATTATAAACACAGTTACAATATGGATTGACTTATACATAAATACATTTTTGGGCTTTTAGAGACTCACTGCAAACATGGTTTTTTAACTATCGTTATACTTATAAAGATAATACTTTTTAGACTTATTAAAAGTATTACTACGTTACCAGAAAACATGTGACACTCACCAACCTTGTGTTGACTCTCAAAACTACATGTATTCTCAGGAAATTACTTAACAAACATTCAAGATGGATTGGATTACAGGTGACCTAGTTTACTTGTTGTTGTATTATATGTCTATCTGTTAAGGAAATTCATGTATTATTATTATTTGTAAAAACAATGTATTTAAATTTCAAGATGAAACATGAATGCTACTTTTTTTTTATTGTTGTACTTGAACTATATATTCAATTTGCCTGTGATCCATGAACTTAGTCGCACAGCCCGACGTGTTCCACCGCCTCGACTGGGGGTGTTACAAGTTTGGATTCATGAAATTCTATTAGGGAATGAACGGTGCTTAGAAAAGGTCTCCCTAAAACAATAGGCACATCCTTATCTTCTTTCATATCTAAAACCATGGAATAAATTTGAAAAACGAATTTCCCAAATTTCACCAACAAATCTTTTTTGATTCCACGTGGGTAAGTGATGGATCTATTTTCAATATGGATGGCCATCCTAGTAGTCGTTGACTCTGATAAATCAAGCTTCTTATAGAATGAATATGGTTTTAAGTTTATGCTAGATCCTGAGTGGACTAATGCATTTGTCTTAGTTGAATTTCCGAATTCATAATCAATTGTTAAACTTTCATGATCTCTCATCTTTATTGGAATATATATTTCATAATTGCAAATAAACATTGCTCAATGAAAATAATCTTAGAAGCTTTATCCAATTGTTTGTGATTACTTATTAGATCTTTGAGGAATTTCATTTAATTGGGCATTTGAGCAATAACTTCAATGAAAGACATCTTGATGCAAAGAGATTTTACTTGCTTCATAAACCTCTTATGCTCCTGTTCTAATTGATCCATATTTGCTTGGATCGGGTATGGGAAGATATGGATGATAAGGCTTAACATGAGGACCCGTCGAACTATTTGGAGGCTAACACAACATGGCACAATGCCGATCACAGCGTGGTTCCTAGACATGCATGTTTTCTTTCTCTTCTTCTCTTTTGTCGGGCTGTTGATCGTTATACTTCTTGTTGGAGATTAATAGTACTAAATGATTAAAATGATTTACTCATTTATTAGATTTAGAAAGAACATGATATCTTGGGTTTGTCTTAGTATTACTTGGACGTGTTCCCGATAATCGCTCATGTAGAAGCTTCACGAGTTGCGAGACTTGTTTCTCTATGTTAAGAATTGAGGCTTTCTAATTTCTGAGAGTGGCTTGATATTCTTTATTGTCAGCTTCTGTTTCATTGTGTCACTTCTCTGATTGCTCGGAAAAATGAGCTAACATTGCCTTAAAATTGGGTTTTCGTAAGTAGATTGATGTTTTTGATAGAACCAACACCCTTGTTGCATATACTTCTCTTCTTTTTCTCTTTTTTACTCGTCATAAAGCTTCCACTCTTTTGTTGGCTTCCTCCAATCTTCATCGAATCGGTCTCCAATTGAGTAGTATACTTGCACCTTCTTGTTCCCATTTACATCTAAGTTGCAATCTTTAGTCAAATGTGGTCCGCTACAATTATCGCACCCGAATTGGAGTACATGTATTGATGGACACATAATTGTGATTCTTCGATCCATTGTGTCTAATTTTGTGATTATAGAAGCCATAATATCATTAAATCCATCTCTATTTGACTATCCTCTTGTGACATCGTC